CAACTTTGTATGGATTTCAGATACACAAGGTTTTCAACTTTGTAGGTTATATCTCATGGATTTCATGTATACAAGGTTTTGGTTGTGTTTCAATATTTATAGTTTTAATGATGATTTTTAGGTATCGGTTTATCTTCATCAAAATGGATATTGTTCTATATAGGCTTAATATGGATTAGACTTCCTCCCTATAAATGTTTTTTGTTTTAAGTTTGATCCCTTTATGTCATTTCTTTGATTATGTTCTATATTTTATAATACTTTCGATTAACTTGATCAATTTCTACAATGTTCTTAAAAGTCATTAATTTTCTTTACTAAAACTGTAAAATTGAATTTTATTAATATAATAATAATGTGTATGGGCAATATGGTCCTAAAACTATAAAAAAATTATTAATATAAAAATAGTGTGGAAGGGCAATCTCATCCTAAAAATGCAAAATTTGAATATTTTTAATATAAAAACACTGATTGAATTTTATTAATATAAAAACAAATAATGATGAAAAGGAATCACTAGTATTCAACTTTTAACATATTTTTTTTTCTATTACTGTGATTTATTATTATTATTGTCGGTTGTTTTTTTTTTAAATAATATTAAAATATGTGTTAATCACAAGATACATCAACCTACTTTACATTGTTTATTATATCATTCTACTATCAAAATGCAATGTCTATTGTTCTCTGTCATCTAATCCAACTAACTCGCTTTTTTTCAGGTTGACAACAAAGAAAAAATTCTTAGAATACTTTATCTTCTTTTCTTGTAATAGTATGTGTATTCTCATGGACATAAAAGTTTTCCTCTATGACATTACATTGATATATATGGTAAGTATCAAGAATTTAATTATGGTTTTTCATATTCAACTTGTGTTTTAACATCTTACTTCTTGATAAATAAATCATTATCATTTCATTATATACTTATAAAGGAAGCATTTTGCCTTTCACCACATTCATTTGAAACTCCCATATATTTTTTCTTTCACCACATTCATTTGAAACTCTCATGACTTTTTAATTTCTTTCTAATAGTAATTATAATTTGGTTAATTAGGTTAAATAAATATCAAACCTAAAGTGTAATCATATATAGACTAAACTTCAATATTAAAATAATATATTTACTTCTACTTATAAAGTTATTTTTTTAACTTTTAACATTATATACTTAATTTATTAGTTTTAACATCTTATTGGATTTAAACCATTATCATTTTAAAGATAAAAATTTGGAACAATTTGTATAATATACTTAAATTATTAATTTAAATATAACATTACAAATTAAATATAAATTTTAGTTTCACTTAAACAACCCAAAAAATATTTTGTAAATAATTAAGTGATAAATTGTAATGTCTTTCTAATAATGATTATAAGTTGGTTAGAAAGGTAAAATAAATATCAAACCTAAAGTGTAATCATAAATAAATTAAATTTCAATTTTAAAATAATATTTTTACTTCTACTTATGAAGTTATGTCTTTAACTTTTAACATATCATACTTAATTTATTAGATTTAATATGTTGTTATATGTAAACCATTATTAATTTAAAACTACAACTTTTGAGCAGTTTTTACAAAATACTTAAATTGTTAACTTAAATATAATATTATAATGTCAACTAAAATATAAATTTCAGTTCCACTTAAAAAATTAAAGAATATTTTGTAAATTGTTAAAAGTGATAAATTATAGTGATAAATCCAAAACCAAAATTGTAATATCAATTTAACTAAAATATTTCTTAAAGATATTTTTATAATCGTTAAAAATTTCAAATAAATAGTTTAAAGTGACTTACAATAATAATAGTTAAAAATAATTCTATATAAATGATTATATCGTTACCTTTAAAATAAAAAAAAAATAATGTTTGATGTTTTAAATAATTATAATGATAGAAATTAAAACATTAAGAAAAGTTTAAAAAATTAATTAACAATAGCAACAACTATAAATAACATTAAATTATATATTATATTTAATTTTATTCATGTGTAACTCGCGGGTAGAAGTTATTCAAACGATTGAGATTATGAAGTTAAAATAATTCAAATAATCAACATATTATATCAACTTAGTATAAAAATTATTATATCAAATTTAACAACAACGTTATTGTTATATTTAAAAAAACATATATTTGTAAGGACTTCAACTATATATGTATTTCTACACATTACAATGTCAACTTAAACATAAATTTTAGTTCCACTTAAAAAACCAAAAAATATTTTTTAAATAGTTAAAAGTGATAAATTGTAGTGATGAATAAAAAAAACTAGATTGTAATCTCAAATTAACTAAAATATTTCATAAATGTATTTTTATAATCGCTTATAGTTTCCAAATAAGTAACTTAAAATAACTTACAATAACAATAGTTAAAAACAAATCTATATAAATGATTATATTATTACCTCTAAAATCAAAAAAATAATGTTTGATTTTTAAATAGTTACAATGTCAACTTAAATATAAATTTCAGTTCCACTTAAAAAATAAAAAAATATTTTGTAAATAGTTAAAAGTGATAAATTATAGTGATAAATACAAAAACTAAATTGTAATCTCAATTTAGCTAAAATATTTCCTAAATGTATTTTTATAATCTCTAAAAGTTTCAAAATAAGTAGCTTAAAATAACTTACAATAATAATAGTTAAAAATAACTCTATATAAATGATTATATTGTTACCTTTAAAATCAAAAAAATAATGTTTGATATTTTAAATAATTATAATGATAGAAATTAAAACATTAAGCAAATAAATTTTAAAAAATTAATTAACAATAACAACAACTATAAATAACATTAAACCATATATTATATTTAATTTTATTCATGTCTAACTCGCGGGTAGAAGTCATTCAAACGATTGAGATTATAAAGTTATAATAGATGTATATATTATTATATAATTCAAAATAATCAATATATTATATAAATTTAGTATAAAAATTGTTATATCAAATTTAACAGCAACGTTATTGTTATATTTAAGTTGTTGTTATATTTAATATATATATATATATATATATATATATATATATATATATATATATAGGGTGAGGTTCAATCGGGAACCATAATTAATCAAGGAACCAAAAAACCAATCTTTTTTTCAACTTTTAGAACTTATTTTTTTATAAAAAAAAAAACTAAAAATACAGAAATTCATAACTTTTTATCATTTTTCCAATGATATAAAATTCGAAAAAAAAAATTACGTCAAATTCACAATGTGAATCTTCGAAAATTCACAACGTGAATCCGAAAAATATTTTTCACATTCACAATGTTAATATATGAATTTAGATATTTTTAGATTTTTTTTTTCGATAAAGAATAAACTATAGAAATTGGAAAAAAAAAATTGGTTCCTTGAAGAACCAATAATTATGGTTCGCTATTGAACTTTTTCATATATATATATATATATATATATATATATATATATATATATATATATATATATATATATATATATATATATATATATATATATATATATATATATATATATATATATAAAGACTTCAACTATATAGGTATTTCTGCGCTTCGCACGGACATTCGCCTAGTATATAATATATGTAGGAGCTGTCTCTTTTCACCTACCAACAACAGTTAAATAAAAAAGAGACAACACATCTTTTTTAGTTTTGTCAATTAACAGCTTGGTGTTTTGAATTTGCACATATAGGAGAAGTGAACGAAACAAAGAAAGGAAAGTTTGCAATTGTGCTCATACGATTTTTATAATCTTTCATAGTGATGATTTACTTTATATGTTACTTGTTAAATTTTTTATTAATATTTTGAAAATTGAAACTTAAAATTGGTGAAATGTGGTATTGGATTATTTTGTCGTATCCAATCCCACAAACTTCCCTAATTTTCATATAAATTTGAAAACAATATTAATAATGTTATATTATTTCTAAAAGCCTGTTTATTAGGAAAAAATATTTTATTCATTATGACAACTTAAAATGATTTTTGATAATGTTTTTTTTTTTTTTGTTGGAGGACTTTCCTTTTAAGAACATTATAATCCGATTATTTACACCTAAAAATTAAACCTTTTTTTAATATTTTTTTCTATTTATTCTTTTATCGATATTAAATATTAACATATAACATAACATAGATAGAATAATATATTAGATGAAAATAAGTAGTATATTTAATTTCTCTTTACAACTAAAGTGGTAAATAAAGGAAATGATGGTTTTGAACTGCGTAGTAAAGAGTTGCAAACCCAGTGGAAAAGGAAACTCCTTTCTCCCTCAATCGACAGACGACGGGGACCCGCCTTCACTGTTGATAATTGCACCAACGATTAAATCTTGCAGGTAATTTACAATGCCATCGTTCGATTAATGTTGTGCCGACGTTCTTCCTGTTAAAACCCCTACATTTCCTACAGTGAATTTCTGATCTCATCTTTAAACACTCATTATTGGGCATTGAAGTCGTTCATAATGTACTCAGCTCTTCCCATTCATGCTCAATTTTACCTAATACGTTACTCAAAATCTGATCAGGATACACCGTTTGATGTTCCTAGTTCCAGACCACTCTTTGCGAGACAGCATTTTCGTTATATACATGTATTAACTGAGGTAAATGTTGTTATGATCTCCAATTATACCTGTAACTACGTTTTTTTTTTTTCATTTACTACTCCATCATTTCCATATTTAGGGTCTATTTTTCTTTGTTAAATACCTAAATCCTATGTTTCTGCAATTGCGAGCCATAAACTTTAGGGCCATTGTGTCTGTTTTACAGTAAATGAGATCCTTGTTTTGATTATTTGGATCATTTCTCTTTGTTTCAAGACTTGGTGTTTTGATGCCTTGGATTTTAAGTACTTGATTCAATTTCGACTGGTGGATGAGATGTAAGAAAATTGATATCTGTAACATGCAGGAGGCTGTAAGGGGTACTTTCAAGTGAAGTATTGGTTAAAATGTCAAAATATCCCTTCCTTGATCCACCAGAGAATGCTGCACCTGGAAATAGGTTAGTGGTGCTTTCTCTGTTTGATTAATAATCTTACTGGCTTGGAAAAATTGACTGCTCTGTATACATTATTCTGAGAAAGGCAATCTATATCCTTAACATACATGCAATCACATAGTTTAACAAAAAGAAAACATTGAATGGACCTTCATATTCACAAAGCACCTTGAAAACTGTTCTGCAATGAACAACTATAATCTTTTCACTTTGTTTAATAACTTGAGTAACATGTTCATTTTGGTATATTTATGTTACATGCTGACTGATGGATACACTACGATGACATAACAGGACCTCAAATGGAAACACCAAAACAGATGAGGCTGAAAGTACAATGTCCATGGTTGCTCAATTTCTTGAGCAGCTTCATGGAAACATCTCTTCATCGCATGAAAAAGAAGTTATCACAACACGATTGCTTGCCATTGCTAAAGCAAGAAAGGAAGCACGTGGTATCATCGGTTCACATTCTCAAGCAATGCCATTGTTCATATCCATCCTTAGAAACGGTAACCCATTGGCAAAACTAAATGTTGCTGCAACATTGACTGCTCTGTGTAAAGATGAAGACTTAAGACTAAAGGTTCTTCTAGGTGGATGCATTCCACCACTTCTGTCACTACTTAAATCAGAGTCAACCGAAGCCAAAAAGGCAGCAGCTGAAGCCATCTATGAAGTTTCTTCAGGTGGTCTTTCAGAGGACCATGTGGGTATGAAGATATTTGTTACAGAAGGTGTAGTTCCAACTCTGTGGGAACAGCTAACTTCCAAGAACAGACAGGACAAAGTGGTTGTAGGGTTTGTCACTGGGGCTCTAAGAAACCTTTGTGGTGACAAAGATGGATACTGGAGAGTTACTCTTGAGGCGGGTGGAGTAGATATTATTGTTGGGCTGCTTTCTTCCAACAATGCTGCTATTCAGTCCAATGCTGCTTCTCTTTTGGCTCGTTTGATGCTCGCCTTCAACAATAGCATGCAAAAAATCATGGATTCTGGAGCAATTGAGGCTTTACTTGGACTCTTGAATCAAAAAAATGATATCCCTGTTAGGTGTAGTGCTGCGGATGCTCTGGAGGCTCTTTCATCAAGGTCAGCCAAAGCAAAGGAAGCTATTGTTGATGCCAATGGTGTTGCCATTCTGATTGGTGCTGTGGTTGCTCCATCCAAGGAGTGTATGCAGGGAGAAGGAGGCCAAATACTTCAGGGACATGCAACACGTGCATTGGCAAACATATGTGGTGGAATGTCTGCTCTTATCCTACATCTAGGAGAGCTTGCTCAGTCTACATCTGTTGCTGATATAATCGGAGCACTTGCTTACACACTAATGATCTTTCAACCAAATCTTGAAGACGAACCACTTGATGCAACGAAAATAGAAAACATTTTAGTTGCACTTTTGAAACCCCGGGTAAATAATTTTATACTTGAGGCAATGGCTAGCTTGTATGGCAATGATTGCCTCTCAACAAGTCTTAACCAATCAGAAGCCAAGAAGGTGTTGATCGGGCTTATAACAATGGCATCATCAGATGTGCAACAGTATCTGATAACCTCTCTGATAAGTTTATGCTGTGATGAGGTGGACATCTGGGAAGCCATCAGAAAGAGAGAGGGAATCCAGTTACTTATATCTTTTCTAGGTTTATCAAGTGAAGAACATCAAGAGTATGCTGTTTGGCTGCTTGCACTCTTGACGGATCAAATAGACGACAGCAAGTGGGCAATTACTGCTGCTGGTGGTATTCCGCCACTTGTACATTTACTAGAAACTGGATCCGATAAAGCGAGGGAGGATGCAGCTTATGTTCTGTGGAACTTATGCTGTCACAGTGAGGATATCTGTGCATGTGTTGAAAGTGCTGAAGCTATTCCTGCTTTCCTATGGTTCTTGAAAACTGGTGGACCAAAGGGACAAGAAGCCTCAGGTAAGGCACTAAGAAAGCTTATACGCAAGGCAGATGCTGCGACTATTAATCAGCTACTAGCTCTGCTTTGGGGGGACACCCCAAAATCAAAAGCCCACATAATTGAAGTACTAGGTCATGTGCTTACCATGGCATCACATTATGACCTTGTTCAAAAAGGATCAGATGCTTATAAAGGGTTGAGATCACTTGTTCAGATTCTTAATTCTTCAAATGAGGAAACACAGGAACATGCAGCTTCTGTCTTGGCTGACCTCTTCAGCATTCGTCAAGATATATGTGATAGTCTTGCAACTGATGAAGTCGTGCATCCTTGCATGAAGCTTTTAACAAGCAACACTCAAATCATTGCCACTCAATCAGCTCGGGCCTTGGGTGCTTTGTCCAAGAACAAAATGTCTTATATTGCAGAAGGGGATGTGAAGCCTCTGATCAGATTAGCCAAAACATCATCTTCCATTGATGCTGCAGAGACTGCTGTATCTGCATTAGCAAATCTTTTGTCTGACTCACAGATTGCTTCAGAGGCATTGGGAGAAGATGTTGTATCTGCTTTGACAAGAGTGTTGGGAGAAGGAAGTTTGAAAGGTAAGAAAGATGCATCGCGTGCACTTCTTCAATTACTTAAACATTTCCCATTAAGCGATGTTCTCACAAACAGTGGTCAATTCCAATTTGCGGTTCTTGCTGTTGTTGATTCCATGAATGATGGGACTGATGCAGCCGAAGCTTTAGAAGTACTTTCTTTATTGGCTAAAACAAAGCAAAATGTTGACACAACATACTCCCCATGGTCTGCCCTTGCTGAAGTTATCTCAAGGTTACAACCTCTTGTGTGTTTTCTAGCTGAGGGGCCTGCTTCTGTGCAAGATAAGGCAATTGAAGTTCTATCCAGGCTTTGTGGAGAGAAACCTGTTGTTGTAGGTGACTTGTTGGTGTCAAATTTGAGAGCAATAGGTGCATTGGGTAACAGGATACTGAAATCTACCAGTCTAGAAGTGAGAGTTGGGGGAATTTCACTGCTCATTTGTGGTTTGAAGGAGCACAGAATGGAAACCATGGAAGCACTTGATGCTTCAGGGTACTTAAAATCTGTTGTGTATGCATTGGTAGATATCATAAAACAAAGTTCGGATTGTTACCCTCTTGAAGTTGAGGTTAGAACTCCAAGGGGTTTGGCTAACAGAACTGGCTTCCATGATGGAGGCGAGTTTGATGTGCTTGATCCTGGTGCTCTCTTGGGAGGTACAGCTGGCCTGTGGTTGTTATCAATTCTTTCTATGTGTGGTGAGGAAAACAGGCGTATTGTGGTGGAAGCTGGGGTACTTGAAGTTCTCTCAGACAAGCTAGAGAAATATACTTTAAATTCACAGGTGGGTCCCGTATGTTCTCATTTTTCTAAAAGCATAACCGGATTACTACCACTTAACCACCCACTGAGATTATGTGGCTGCGACAAAAACAGTTCATTCAAATACATAAAAGTTTTAATTCCTAGAAAGGCCTTACATTTTGACATTTTTATGAAAAAGGCACAGTTTTTTTCTTCGTTTTAGTCTGCAACTTTGAAGAAATTTGTATTTTAAGGATCTATTACCCATTCAAGAAAGCTCTTATAGTTTGACATGTTTTATAAGAAATACACAAAGTTATGGGTTGTTATTACTTTGTCTTTGTTAAGGGCTTTCTTGGAATTAATCATTTTATGAAATGCCAGGTCAGCATCTCGGCCTGTTCAATGAGTAAAAAATCCTTAAAATAACAAGTTTCCTCATAGTTACAGGTTTAAATGAAGAAAAAAATTACATGATAAAATGTAAGGGCTTTCTTGGAAGTAACCCTATAATCATCTTTATGTTGGGTAATGAGAATTATGATTTTGTGAAAATGTTAATGAGTATATGTATTTATACATGTCAAAGACAAGCCTCTGAAAAAGTGCTAATGCATATTTTCAGAAATTGAATAAGGTGCTGTTTCTTTTGACTTAATAGACTTAATGTAGAATGGACTTAGTCTGATAAGTTATATATGGGTGTTAATGTGTAAAGAACGACTTAATGGAGAATGTCAGGCTTTTTTCCATGAAGACTTATCCTAACCTTTAACAAGTTTGCCTTTATTTTTTCCTTCTTCTTCTCTAAGTGTGCTGTCATTTTTTTAAAATATTTTTGAACATCTTTATCCAGACAGCACTTAATGCGAAAAAAAACAGGGCTTAAGTGAATGAACTAATATTAGCTAACAGATGTCCATGCATTAGGGTTAAACAGCATCTGTTTGATACTTCTAATAAGTAAGCTTCTCTTTTTTCCAGGCAGAGTTTGAGGACAATGAGGGCATATGGATAAGTGCTTTGCTATTGTCAATATTGTTTCAAGATGAAAATGTGGTGTCATCATCATTAACCATACGCATCATTCCATTTTTAGCAAATCTTGTCAAGTCTGATGAAATTCTTGACAAGTTCTTCTCTGCTCAAGCCATGGCTAGTCTTGTATGTAATCGAAATATCAAAGTAAATCTTGCAATTGCAAATTCAGGTGCAGTTGCTGGCTTAACAACAATGATTGGTTACATAGAAGCAAATATGTCAGACCTTTTTGCTATATCTGATGAATTCTCATTGTCCCGTAATCCTGATCAAATTGTTTTGGATAATCTTTTTGAAATTGAAGAAGTCAGAAACGGGTCAACAGGTTCCAAAACTATTCCTCTATTGGTGGATCTTTTGAGACCAATGCCAGATAGACCATGTGCCCCTCCTTTTGCTGTTTCCCTTTTGACCTCCATTGCAGATGGAAATGATGCAAACAAACTTCTCATTGCTGAAGCTGGAGCACTTGATGCTTTAACAAAGTATTTATCTTTGAGCCCTCAAGATTCAACCGAGTCTGCCATTTGTGAACTTCTGAGAGTACTTTACACCAATCCTGATCTTCTTCGTTACAAATCAGCCGTTTATTCGTTAAATCAACTGATAGCTGTTCTTCGTTTGGGATCAAGATCTACTAGATTAAATGCTGTTAGAGCTCTCAATCAGTTATTTAATGCTAATGATTTAAGAGAATCTGAATCGGCTCTTCATGTGATTCAACCATTGATTGATATGCTGAATGCAGCATCTGAAAGCGAGCAAGAAGCCGCTCTTCTCGCTTTGATGAAGTTGATTTCAAACGACACTACAAAAGCAGCTACAGTTGTTGATTTTAAAGGAAACCCCCTCGAGAGTTTATGTAGAATTTTATCTTCCAGTTGTACAATAGGATTAAAAACCCATGCTGCAGCTTTCTGTTCTGTGCTTTTCGGTAATTCAGTAATTCGGGCATTGCCAGTTGCCTGTACATTCATCGAGCCTCTCATACTCTTAATGCAATCTGATGATGATTCAGCAGTGGAGTCTGGTGTTTGTGCTTTTGAGAAACTTTTAGACGATGAACAAGCAGTGAGTGTTGCAGCAGATTATGATGTCATCGATCTTCTTGTCGGTTTGATTTCTGGATCAAATGATGCTCTCATCGAGGCCAGTATTTCAGCACTTATTAAGCTTGGAAAAGACCAAACTTTAAGAAAGTTAGATATGGTAAACTCCGGGGTCATTGATAATTGTCTTGCTTTACTCCCAACTGCCTCAAGTGGTTTATGTTCCTCAATCTCTGAACTTTTCAGAATCTTGACAAACAGCAGTGCGATTTCAAAAAGCGCATCCGCTGCTACAATTGTGGAACCCCTTTTCATGGTTTTAAATCGACCCGATTTTAGTCTGTGGGGACAACACAGTGCTCTTCAAGCACTTGTTAATGTTTTGGAAAAACCACAAAGCCTTGTGAATCATAAAATCACTCCTAGTCAAGTAATCCAACCCTTAATTTCATACATTCAATCACCATCTCAAGCCATCCAACAACTCGGCACCGAGTTGCTTTCTCATTTGCTTGCACAAGAGCACTTTCAACAAGACATCACAACACAAAATGCAGTTGTCCCACTCGTTCAGCTTGCAGGAATTGGAATCTTGAGTTTACAGCAAACCGCGATAAAAGCATTGGAAAGCATTTCAGTGACATGGCCAAATGCGGTTGCTGATGCTGGCGGGATTTTTGAGCTTGCAAAAGTTATTATACAAGATGATCCTCAACCATCTCATGAGTTATGGGAATCGGCTGCGATTGTTCTCTCAAATGTTTTGCACTTTGATTCTGACTACTACTTCAGAGTTCCTTTAATTGTTCTTGTGAAGATGTTGAACTCAAATGTAGAGTCCACCATTTCCGTTGCTCTTGATGCGTTGATTGTTCAAGAAAAGTCAGACGAATCAAGCGCGACATTGATGACCGAAGCTGGTGCCATTGATGCTTTACTTGACTTACTAAGATCTCACCAGTGTGAGGAAGCTTCCGGAAGATTACTTGAAGCTTTGTTTAACCATGTGAAGGTACGCGCAATGAAGCTTTGTAAACACGCGATAGGACCTTTAGCACAGTATCTGTTGGACCCGCAAACTAGATCGGTGCCAGGTAAGCTTCTTGCGGTTCTTGCTCTTGGTGACCTGGCACAGCATGAGGGACTAGCGCGTGTTGGTGATTCTGTTTCTGCGTGTCAGGCGTTGGTGGGGTTGCTTGAAGATCAATCGACTGATGAGATGAAGTTGGTGACGATTTGTGCGTTACAGAATTTTGTTATGTATAGTAGAACTAATAGGCGAGCTGTTGCTGAAGCTGGTGGGATTTTAATTATTCAAGAATTATTGTTGTCTCCTAATTTAGAGGTTGCTGGACAGGCGTCATTGCTCATCAAGTTTTTATTTTCAAATCACACCCTTCAAGAATATGTATCAAACGAGCTTATTCGGTCTTTAACAGGTGATACCAGACTTGCTTTTTTTTTTTGTTAGCAATGATTTTATTTTAAATTATTACAGTTTTGGTCCTGTGTTATTGACATCCGTGTTACTGTTTTGCAGGTGCTTTAGATAGAGAATTATGGGCAACAGCAACTATAAACGAAGAGGTTCTGAAGACAATCCACGTCATCTTCTCAAACTTCCGGAAACTTCATGTTTCAGAAGCTGCGACTCTGTGTATCCCTCATTTATTAACAGCTCTTAAATCCGGCAACGAGGCTGCTCAAGATGCTGTTTTAAACACATTATGTCTGTTGAAACGTTCATGGGCAGTTATGCCTATGGAGACATCAAAATCCCAATTAATGATTGCATCAGAAGCTATTCCCATCCTCCAAATGATGATTAAAAGCTGCCCCCCGGAATTCCATGAAAGAGCAGAGAGCTTGTTGAATTGTTTACCTGGTTGTTTGATCATTACGGTCAAACGTGCTACCAACTTAAAACGTGTCATTGGAGGCACAAATGCTTTCTGTAGACTCAAAATAGGTCAAGGCCCTTCCCACCAAACAAAGGTAATGAAATCTTTCTTCATTATGATTTATGACAACATGCAGGAACTGATGTCAATTGGACAAAAAAAAATATATATATATATATATATATATATATATATATATATATATATATATTGCAACTTTTTTCCCATCTAATAAAAAATATATATGGAACAAGGTGGGATATAGGATCCCTCATTTGTGCAAAAGACGTAAACGCCCTCCTTGTCCCAATCCTCAAAAATAGCCCTAGAAAGCTTGAAGATGGAATTGAAATTTAATGGTATTTGATGATGTTCAGGTTGTGAGTCGCAACACATCTCCGGAATGGAAAGAAGGGTTTACATGGGCTTTTGATGTCCCTCCAAAAGGACAGAAGTTACACATCCAATGCCTTAGCAAAAATACTTTTGGGAAGGTAAAATTAAAATTATAATCCCCTTCAAACTGCTCTCTTATCTATTATCTGTGCCTTTAAAAGTCTCAAACATTATACGTTTTTTTCTAATGGGTTGAAATTGAATGCAAGAAACCGCAACATGCTTTCTTTTATTTGTTTTCATAATAGCATCCTACATTCATTTCTTCCTATTATTTTGAAAAATCTACCCAGTTATAGCAATGCCATCAAGAAAGAAAGCAATTTTCACCTTTTTCAAGGGAAAAGGTTAAAAATGGCCTACCAACTATTCCATATTTCCATTTTTAGTCACTAAACTTATACTGTCCACTTTTAGGCGATAAACTTTCCAAAATTGTCTCATTTTAGTCCCTTTAACCTACTATAGCCCTTACATGATTAAAATAAGACAGTTTTGGAAAGTTCATTACCTAAAAGTGGACAAATGGAATGCTTCGTTGGTCACTTTTTACCTTTTCCCATTTTTCAAAGCAGAATGTCCACTTTTAGCTAGTTAAAAAAAAATTAAGCACTTCAAAAGGTTGCAAGTATAAGGTAACGATCAAACTTATATTGAAGGATAAAAGTCAAGAAAATCAAATTTCTTTATTTTATCTGTTGATTATAATATCCTACCTTCAGTTCTTCCGTTACAGTTTGTATTTTCAAAAATCTATCAAATAATAGCAGTGTCATTCAAAACAAAGCAAGTTTGAATGCTATAATCGGGTAGATTTCACAAATTATAAAGTCCTAATAAAAATAATATATATTATAATCGTGTGTGTGTGTGTGTGTGTTTGTGCAACAGACAACCCTGGGGGAAGTGACAATCCAGATTGACAAAGTTGTGAGCGATGGAGTATACAGTGGGGTTTTTAGCCTTAGGCATGGGCACAGCAGCAGCAACAAAGAGGGATCTTCAAGTTCAAGAACACTTGAAATCGAGATTACATGGTCCAACAAGACATCAGATGATAATATCACAGATGAGGGATCGGTTTTGTAAAACTTGCAAGATGAAGGTGTAAAATGTAAAACAAGGGGATTGTGTTTGTGGTGTACAGTATAGTACAGTGTGTAGATGAGAAATGAGAAGTAGATATAAGATATGTGTGGATAAACATGATGCCAAAAAGTAGATATGGCTTCCAAAATTCCAAGTGCCTTCACTTGTTATGTATACATATACATGCTACAAAATTTGGCACCTCATTAATTAATCACTCAAAACTGCATGCACCAACCAACCAAGCCTACAATAACGACCAATATATATATATATATATATATATATATATATATATATATATATATATATATATATATATATATATATATATATATATGACAATAAAAATAAATAAATTAACAATCAAATTAAAGTTGGTCTAGGTTTTTTTAATACAAATTACAAATATAGCTATATATCTGTTATATGTATCAAACTATCAATAAAATGAGATAATATAACAATTACCTACAATATTATAAAATTGTAATTCATAAAAGGGTTAATTACTAATCTAGTTAAATTAAGAAAGTAATTAACTATTTTTAGCCAAATATTAGGAATTGTACCAAAATAGCCCACGAAACCGTAGGTATTTAGAATCTTCTACTGTTTTGCTAATTCGTCTACTGTTTCGTGTTAAGTATAATTTTTTTTTTTTTCATTTTGAAGATGTAAAACCGTAGGTTTTTTAAAACCTATGGTTTCTCTCTATAAAATACGGTTTCCCAAACCGTAGCCTACGGTTTCCCAAACCGTAGCCTACGGTTTCCCAAACCGTAGCCTACGGTTTTGGGTTAAATCTACGTTTTTCTTAATGAAAACTACGGTTTTTGGTTAAAAAGCTATGTTTTTTTTAGTAGGGTATTTTCTTGCGAATTATTTTGATTAAAAATATTGTTTGTAAAAATGTAGAATATTTTTTTGACAATTGTTTTGTTAAAAAATATTTTTTGTAAAATATAAATTAGTTTTTTAACAATTATTTTGATAAAATAATTTTTTGCTAAAATGTAGATTATTTTTTTGAATTTGTTGATTATTTTTTTTGGTAAATTTGACTACTTTTTGGGTAAATTTGATTACTTTTTTTGCTAAAATTTACTAATTTTTTGCTAAATTTGACTATTTTTTTGTTAAACTTGACTACTATTTCTTCCATTGTCTAATATTTTCTTTTAATGGAGCACCCGAAGAACGAGATACATCCATTTTAATCAAAATTTTACCATATTGTTGATTAGGAGTAGTTTTTGTATATAGGTATAACTTTTTTTTGAAAAAAAAAAAAGCAATAAAAATAAAAATAAAATCCACAATGCATAATTTGTGCATTGTGGACTTGTACACCGTAGAAACCTACGATTTTAAACTTTTTTCGGTTTTTTTCAAAAATAAAAGTTATCCCCATATACAAAAACTACTTATAATCAACAATACGGTGAAATTTTGATTAAAATGGACGTATCTCGTTGTTCTTCGGGTGCTCAATTGAGAGAAAATAGTAGACAATGGAAGAAAAAATAACTTAAATTGAAAAATAAAACATTATATACTATGAGTCAATGGGTCACAAAACAGTAGACGGGCTACGAAAGAGTAGTCAATTGCGATGAAAGAGTAGTTTTCGAAGGTTGACCATAGTCAACCCTAACCTATTTACTATTTTGTGGGCTAGTTTTGATTAATATATTTTTTTTTTGACTAATTTTAGATAGATAATTAGTGTGCTTGAGTATATTCTACCTAAAACAAATCTGAATAGATAGAAATGAAACGACCAATAGTTACTTTTATTTTTTGTCGTTCTTTCTCTTTCTCTTTCTATGTAACCTTCTGTTGTCTCTCCCGTCTCCACTTCTTTATTATCTCTTATTTATCTCTACAATATTTCAATTTTCAAGATCACTTTTAATATTCAAGAACAAGAACAAATAAATTACCTCAAGATTCAACAACAAAATAACATCATCATCTTATTAGGAGACGAAGACGAGGGCAGAGGGTGGCGTTGCCGGAGATAGGAAGACAGCGACGGTAACGGCAGTTTCCCAAGAACAAAAAAATATGTAAATTCGTTTTTGGGGTTTTTTTTACCCTTCTTTTGACTTTCTTTCACATTCCATATTTTTTTATCTATAAACTTAAAGACAAACTTTGAAATATATTTTGATAGCTAAATTCATCATCCAAATCAATACTTGGGGCCAAACCTTATCGATTGCTATCGCATGGCGACATAATCACTCATTATCCGCATACCGATCGACTAGCACACACATACAGGGTCTTCAGCATGACTGGACTGCCTTACCAGACCTTCAACCTATCTGGACCACCCTCAGAACCTTCAACATGTCTGGACCGCCCTTTTGGGCCTTCAGCCTATCTGGACCGTTCTTCGAGACTTCGGCCTGACTGGTACGCCCACCGGCCTTCAGTCTATCCGGGCTGCTCAAAATTTTCGTACATCAACCTGAACCATTCTTTCTAGGAATCTCTCCCATGCATACTGTTCTCGCCCTCTTAGGGTTCCGAACTCCAGCTCCATTCCATATTCTCGGATTCCGGCCTAACCCTAGGCCTCACAACAATCAATCACTTTCTCTGAAAACCATGGTCGGTTCCCCGCCCCCCGTGTTTATTACCACATTCTCGGCTAAAAACCTATTGGATCCAACATTTTAATTAAAACACCCATTCGGATCCACTTTTTGTCCCCAACTGGAGTATTACCCGATCCAAGAAGATGAAACCTCGGAGACACTCCGAACTGATGAGATCACCAAGATCCCGTGAACTCCGTCCGACCACTAATAACAACTTCCGATCAACCAAGATACACAGGATGTGCTCAGCCTACTCTAGCAGCATGCTCAATACGTGGAACAGACCTATTGAGTGCTAAAGCGTAGCAGCCTACTCAATACCCGAACATAGATCTACAAACATAAACAGAGCCTTCAGCATGACTAGACCGCCCTACCAGGCCTTCAGTCAATCGTCCACCTTCTCAGAAATCCGAGGTATGTTCCCTGGTTTGCATGTCTACCATACACGCTAAATAACCCGCACTCCCGTGTTGAATGCACTACTGAGCCCTGACATCTAACAAAACCCTCAATCTGTCAATCCAAAACCCTCAAAGTCGAGCACACCCTCGACCAAAAACTCAAATTGAACTCGATTCTTGACTAGGACCCCAACCTGGTTCCCCAACTTCTGCTATCAAGCATCCAGAAGACGTGTTCTTATGCTGGGGAGTTTTACCGAACCCCCAAACAACACAACCCTCAAACTAAGCAGCAAATATGGCCTTTGCTCTCCCTGTCGGGTTGTGAAACTTATCCCAGTTTCAAAACCTTTCCCACTTCAGCATCTCGGGGTAACACTCCCCCACTTAGATTCAACTAAGCCTTCATAATACATGAAAATTGGAGGATTCTCAATCCTCCTCACTTCCCAATGATTTATCCGATGACAACAATTCTTTCCCACTAGTGTTCCATTGCTAGCTAGACCCGACTCATCACACACTTCTAAGAACCAAATGATCACTTCCCGAATCCCAGTGAAACCAACAGCCACTAATGCGTGAATGAATCCACACTCACTTCTTGAAGACCACCATATAGATACTCCAACTAATACCTCGGCAACGAGTTACTTCTCTTGGAGCTTTTAGTCCATCAATCACTAACGGTTGCTAACCACTGAATCCTGACAATGATGAATAACCATTTTATGGGACCCCATCCACAGGCCTCCCACATAAAACCCCATTTCCAAAGGTGTTCCAAACAATCTTCCTGCTTTCGGGCTTTAGAAATCATTCTCTTCAGGGTTCACACCCTGACTCACTCACCAGCTCAAACGCCCACAACTGAACGGCAGCAGCTGAAACAACCTCTACCCTAAACCGGGCTACAAACCACTCCCAAGACATAGTCTACAGTCCCAAAAGTGAAATAGATCGCACAATCAATCCTTTCCATCTGATATAAGAGATCCAAGGAAAACCGGACCTCACAAACACTTATGCCACGCCGACCATCCTGAGCTCACCGGCGTTGAAATAATGTTGCCTATTCCTGTAACCAGCTGACCCCGAGATCGAATACACCTGATTTTGGGGTCACAAGCCTGCTCACTCCTTCGAGCTCGGAAACTGAGGGGGTGCAATCCTTGCCCTACAAAACGACGGTCCAATTCATCAATCAACCATTTCACTTATAGCTGCAAAACCCCATCTGAACATAATCATCACTCCTTTCCGGAGTTCCACGACCCATATCCCAGTCTCGAGCAAACCCCCGAGCCTCAAATCTATAAACCCACAAGCTAGACTCTCCCGCTCAACTCGCGGAAATATAACGAGTACATGTCATCTTCCTGCTCCCAGATAATTGTATCCTTCTGCTCATCAGATCATGCACCAATAACAAGTCCCGGTCCTGGAAAGCTCATCCAGCTCCTCTCCCTGCCGTCGTTACAGCTACCAAAGCTGCTACGACAACCGTCTCAACAATGTCTGCATGGCGCTCGACAAAATACTCAACCATAACGGTCTTGAAAGACCCTATCATCTTCGAAATTTATTCCCAAACAATCTCGATCATCTCCTCCCGGAGGATCTCCCTGACAATATCCTTTGACAATGCTGGCCTATCCTGGCTGCCAGCTCCCGATCCTAACCTGGAACCGGTCACAAGATGTATCGTGACCACCATTCTGGCAATACACCAAAAGATCTATAATAACCTTTATAATGACAAGGAAACAACCCCAAAACCCATCCCTAGGGATTATGACTTCCTTGCTACATGTATGGGTCATGTGCTTTCAGTAGTACGGGCCCATACTACCTTCCACACCTACCCATATTTGTCTCAAGTATCATCACAACGCCCTAACAATATACATAAATATAGCGAGCGCTTAAATCCTCACTCCTAGAGGAATGCTAAACATCTCATAACTGGCCTCCCGACCCCTCACTACCCACCCAATCCATGAAACTCCACCAACCCTGCATCATTAGTGTATACTAGCCACACATAACGCTAGACCCGATAGACTTTCGGATATCCAATTCTACCCTAAGGTCGAATCAGACATTCTCAGGCTATAAGATCTTGATTATGCACAGTCGTGATGCATACACTAAACAACTACAGTAAGGATGTCAATCTCATATAAGGAAAACCCTAGGCTAATTGGCATCATGAAATCAGGC